TGGGGAGCTGCAGCCCCCAGCCGAGTGGAGCTGGTGAGCCAGTTGTTTTAGGAGTCGCCCTTCTCCCCAGCTGGTTGGCAGATGGGTTGTAGCCTTTCCTTGTTGACCCTGTATTCATGACGGGTGCCATGCTGACCTCGGGGCTGTGCCAGCCCCGCAGCCTTGGGAGATGGACCACTTCCTCTCCTGAGTATTCCTGGGAGCTACTAGGCAGGCAGCCAGAGGGTGGGAGGGAGCACTGGGGCCCTGACAGGACCTTTACATCAGAGTGGGTGCTTGGGGTAGCCTGATGCCCGCGTGATAGATTGAAAGCCCTAGTGGGACGTCTGCGTGGGCCTGCAGGTAGTGACGCTCAGACCTCTGACCTTTGGAACGGGAAGCAGGCCCCTGGCGCAGGGGGAGGTGGAGGTGGAGGTGGGACAGCTGCTTGGGCAGAAGGAATTGGATGGGGCGGCCAGAGTGTGGTCTGAGGGGTAGGCTGAGCCCTGGTATGATAGTGATGATGCCTAGTGGCTTTCCTAGCTGGACCAACTCCAGATGAAGTGGCTTCCAAGAGCCCACTGTAGTGGGGGATGGTGTTTACTCTCTGCCTGCTCCCTGCCAATCTTACTTTGGGGTTTGGGAAATGGGTCCAGAGTGAAAGACTTGAGACTTCGTGATCTAAACTAGAAGTGAGACCCCTTAGCCAAAATCTGAGAGCTCCGAGTTAACCTTTCTCTCCTATTGTTTCCTGGGGAGGAGGGCTGGGGTGAAAAAGGAGTAAAAGGATGCATTCGCCTAACTGCCCTAGGCAGACTATTCTAATGAGGCCCCTCCCCCACGGGCTCCTGTGCCTTTCCCTTCTTCCCCTTCCCTCCTGCTGCTCCCCACCCCCTTCTTTCCTCTGCCCATTTGAGGCCCCCTTCCTCCTCCAGCAGCCCAAGCCTTGCTGGGTGCATGTTCTGCACCTAGTGGGGCCAAGGATGCTTAACAGCTATCAGCAGCAGCATCTGACAAGCTGGGGGAAGTTGTGGGGGAAGAGTAATTTTCAGGAACTTGCTATGGAGGGGTTGAAAAGAGACAAAAGGGCCCTGGGGGAGTAAGAAGCCCTATGTCCAGCACCACTGCTAGACCTGGGGAGCCTGTGGAAGGGATGGGTATCCACCCACTGCTACTTACCGGGGAAAGCATATCAGGGCTTGCCCTAATAGGGCCCTGCTCCTTCCTGCCTTCTGCCACCTGCATGCTCTGTGCTGAGGGGTCACTCCTGGGGGCATGGTCTTTGGGTCATCTGAGGCAATCTCATCTGGATTAGCAGTTCATGTCTGAGGCTTGATGGAAGGAAGGGGACAGGCAGGCAGGCGGGCATTGATAGGACTGGTGCTGGGGTGCTGGCTGTTGTAACTGATAAGCCTCAGAGGAGAAGAAAACCTCCTCTGTATAGGGTCAGGCCCATGCGTTGGCAAAGCTTCTGGTGGGGGAGTTGGTGGTCATTATGTGCCGTCGGGTTGGAACTGACTCATCGCTGACCTCTGGGTTTTCAGAGGCTGGAAATCACTGAAGAGATAGCCCACCTTTGTCCTCCAGAGCAACTGGTGGATCCAAACCACGTGCCTTTGGATTGACAGCACAACTCCTTATCCACTAGGCTCCCAAAGCTCCCTAATGGGGCAAGAGGTGATAGATAATTGATGCAGGGAAAGGCAGGCTATAAGTCCTGGCAGGTGAGAGTGGGCATTGGCGGGAGAGCAGTTGCTCCACCGTCTTCCACCCCTAACATCCACCCAAGCACTGGGCGCAGTTTCCCAGCTGTTTGTGGGTCAAAGGCAGAAGGATGCAGTATCCATTTTTTGAATTTAAGTTGAGAAAGCTAGACCTTCAATCCTCAGTGTTTGAGGAATCACCACAAGAAACATCTTTGGTCTGTAGCTCAGAGGCAAAGACTTGATCAAATAAAATGAATGAATTTGTGTGATGTGCTAATTGGATAAGATAATAAAAACCAAAACTGTTGCCAGTGAGTTAGTTCTGAGTCATCGCAACTCTATAGGACAGAGTACAGTTGGCCTGTAGGGGTTTCCAAGGTTGTATGTAATCTTTATGTAAGCAGATTGCTTTGTTCATAGAGGAACTGGTAGAATTCAGACTTTTTTTTTTTAACCACTTCACCTTTTTTATTTAGTTGTTGTTGTGTAGCATCAAGTTGGAAGCAACTCATAGCTGACTCTCCTGAAGGTTTTCAGGGGCAGTTAATTGCATGGGAGGAGATTGCCCATCCTCCTCCCTCACAGCAGCTGATGGCCTTGAACAGGGTGCCTTCAGAAGTAGCTGGTGGCCCAGTGGTAAGAAGCTGCACTGCAGTCACAAAGGCACACGGTTCTAGTTCACCAACTGCTCCGCTGGAGACGGATGGGCAGTCTCCTTCTGTGTGGTTGTCTCTGAAAACACACTGGAGAGTCAGCGTCAGCTCTGGGTAATTACAACTCTATGGTACTCAGCAACTTTTTATTTAGAAACCAAACATTTACCCATTGTGCCACCAGGGCTCTTGAATATTAGTATAAAGGCTCCTCATTTTGGACCTTTGAATATGGGGGACCATTGAAAAGCTTTAAGAGCATTCTTAGAATGAAGAAAAAGTAAACAAAACTTTTTTTTGCTGTAAAATTGGAACTTTGTAGGTTTCTGAGGCTATAAAGGGTACCAAAGGAGATGGCTCACCTTTCTCCCAAAGGGTGACTGGTAGGTTTGAACTGCTAGAGACGTTAAACCTTCTGGGTTAGCAGTGCAGTTACACCAGAGAGCTTAAACAGATGAGAAAATGTTACCCAAATCCTTTTGTTCAGCAGCCTATTTTGATGGTTGCTGTGTACCCTCGAGTCAAAAGTGACTTGTAACTGATCCTCAGTGAGTTTTCAGAGGCTGTAAATCACATTGAAGACTACCCATCTTTCTCATGCAGAGCGGCTGGAGGATTCAAACCATGTGCCTGTGGCTTGGTAGCCCAGCTCCTTACAATAAATTATCAGAGCTCCCTGCGTAGATAGTACAAACTCAAAAAAGATGGCTCTAAAATCTGCTGTTAACTGGCTGCCAGCCCAAGGCTGGCATATAGATAGATGTTGAGGTGCTATTTAGAGTTCTTGTACTCCAAGTTGATTTACTTTTTTCCTTAATTTTTTTTTTAAAAAGGTTTCTTTTTTTAATCTTGTTACAAAAGGGATTTAGTCAGAAATGACTGTAGAGATGACTGTCAACGTCACCGGATGCCTCAGATCCTTTCTTTGCTTCTGCTTTCTCCTCTGCTGGCATAGCAGTGATGGGGGACGTGGGTCCTCTTGGTGCAGTTCTTGCTGCTGGGACTGGTGCACCAGCCTCTCCATTGCCGATGCGGCTCCCTATGTTGATTGTTACCCAGGCCCTGCAAACAAGCCAGGCCAGAAGGGCCCAGCGTTTAGCCTGGCTGCTTTAATGAGGGTATTGATCTTATCCTCCGTGCCTGTCACCTCATTGTGGTGCAGGATGAGGGCAGAGGCGAGGCAGGCGAGCATGGCGGGAGTGCTGGGCTGTGAGCTGCTGGGCAGTCCTGCTCATTAGATGAAGTGAGGGCCTCTCCCAGGGAGGCTGGAGCTTCTCAGTGGGAGCTGAGTGGAAGGCCAAGGTGCTTCCTGATAGAACCTTTTGGATTTGTGTGGGTTTTTTTGCCCTATCCCATTTCCTTTTATCCTGCAGGGACCTGGGTTGGATTTGTATTCATGCCTTTGACACTCCTGGGGAGAGCTTGGTGGTAAAGATGGCATTTTCTATCTCTATATCTGGCGTGGTGGAAACAGGAGCAGAGTCTTGACAGTTTGCAGGCCCTGTGTTGATCTCTGGGGTGAGGGATGAGGTTGGATGGCCCTCAGAGCTAAGTGTCAAGAATTCTTTGTGGGATGATGGAGCAGCTTTTGAGAAGGATGGAAGTGCACATCACAGCCTAAAAGGGGAGTGTGATATGTCGAAAGGATCAATTCTGTCCTATTAGAACAATAACTAGGGTTTGGATTATTGTCAGTGGGATGGCAGAGAGGATGTCATCTTGTGAAGTTAGAAGCCATCACGTTGGTTCAAGTCACAGTGACCCAGTATAAAGTGGAAATGCCCCACAGGGGTCTCTAGGCTGTTAATGAGAGCAGATTACCAGCTCGCGTCCAAAGAGATGCTGAGTGGGTTTGAACCACCAGCCTTTCAGTTAGCAGCAGAATGCTTAACTGTTGTGTCACCAGGGCACCTTTCATAAATAATTGCATGTAGATCTAAAAGGTGTTCTCTTAGGAGGGACGGAAGGTGCAGTGTATGTAATCGGGGAGAACCCCTGAATTACATCAGCACATGGGAGAAGCAGATGAAAAAGGAGAAAAGCACTTTGAACCCAGTGCTGTGAGTGACATTAACAGTGGTTATGTGCTGTTAAATCAGAACTGACAGCTGGCCTTCGAGCGAGTTTCTCTCATGGAGCAGCTGGTGGATTTGATCTGCCTGCCTTTGAGTTGGCAGCACAGCTCTTTATCCACTAAGCCACCAGAGCTCTCTGTTTGACTAGCAGACATTACAAACCTGGATTTTTGTCTGGAAGCCAGGACCAAAAGCAAAAAGGGCTTGGTTATTTAGGAAAATTGTGGTGAAGAGAGGATCCAGTCTTTAATGGAAAAGTCAGACAGGACCCAGGCCTAAACAGAAGTATACGACTGATAATTGAACAGAGTTGGAACAGAACAGCTGATCAGACCACAGAGGGCAATTTTCTGAGAGGCAGAAGAGAAGGCTAAAGTGAAAGCCACTGATTTTGAGTTCCTCTCAGCTTCAGCTAGCTCATATTCTGTGGAGAAGTCAGTTGACTTGGTGACCACAGAGTGAACTCTCATCCTTTGCTTTTCCCTATTCTTTCTGTAGACAGAGAAGAGGGTCTCCTCCTCCCCATATCTGGGGGTCTCACTCATTTCTAGAGAGGTCAAGGTAACTCTTGTTCCTTGCTTCCCCAGGCCGAGAAGAAAGCCAAGGTTATTGCAGTAATGAATGCTGTGGAAGAAAACCAGGGATCTGGGGAATCTCAGAAGGTGGAGGAGGCCAGCCCTCCCGCCGTGCAGCAGCCCACTGACCCCGCATCGCCCACTGTGGCCACAACGCCTGAGCCTGTGGGGGCCGACACAGGAGACAAAAATGCCACCAAAGCAGCTGATGACGAGCCAGAGTATGAGGTCAGTGACTTGCTGCTTCATATCCGACATATCCATATGGGCCCTTCCACTGCCAACTCCTTTGTCCACCAACCCCTGGCTGCCCTTTGCACTTGACCTCTAGCCCCTTCATCTCCACAGTTTTACTTTGTCTTGGTCCACTCTAGTGGCGTTCCCTCTTGGCTCAAATGTCTTGACCCTCAGATATCTGCACAGGGCTGGGGTTGGCATAGGGTAGAGGGAGGCCCGGGTCAGGGTGGCAGGGCCTGCTGACCACCATGTAATGATTTCTGCTCCTGGGGCTCCAGGATGGCCGGGGCTTTGGCATTGGGGAGCTCGTGTGGGGAAAACTGCGGGGCTTCTCCTGGTGGCCAGGCCGCATTGTGTCTTGGTGGATGACTGGCCGAAGCCGAGCAGCCGAAGGCACCCGCTGGGTCATGTGGTTCGGAGACGGGAAGTTCTCAGTGGTGAGTTATGGCGTTGATGGTTGCGTAGTGATGGAAGAGGCTTTATTTCCAGAGTCTTTTGTTTAGACTGTGAAATTGGGGTGGTGAATGGGACAGCCTTAGTGATAATGCAACTGCCTCCATGGCTTTGAGAGCTAGGGTACTCAGTTTGTCTTCCAGGGACCCATATCCCAGAGTTCCTTTCCTACTTCCCTTTGAGTTCTGCTCCCCCACCCCCATTTATTCTGACTCCTGTTTTACATCATAGTGTGATTTATTTATCAATGCATCGGGTTCCCTCACAGGGAGAGACTAAGTCTTAATGCTGCTCCCAACCCCTAATAATTGCCAGGCTTGAGGTGAGTGTGGACGGAGGAGCAAACAAGGGGCCTGGGTTGTCCCTCCAGGTGTGTGTTGAGAAGCTGATGCCGCTGAGCTCCTTCTGCAGTGCATTCCACCAGGCCACCTACAACAAGCAGCCCATGTACCGCAAAGCCATCTACGAAGTCTTGCAGGTGAGGAGGGAGTAGAGGTGACGGGGACCAGTAGGTAGCATGGACCATATGGCAGAACTTGAGCCTGGACAGAGGGGCTCTGTGTAAGAGGCCCTTTTGTCTGTGCCTCTTTCTCCCTGCCACACTCACCCATCTACATTGCCTCCGTGGTCTCCTCCATGGTCCCCTCCTACCCTGCGCCTTCTCCCATCTTTTGCCCAGGCCTTCCTTTGCTACTCTCGGAGTCTGGCCTTGAGTCTGAATGACTTCTCTCCTGCCTGTTCTGATCCCCACCCCCTGCCTAATGTGTTACCCTCCAGGTGGCCAGCAGCCGAGCTGGGAAGCTGTTCCCAGCGTGTCATGACAGTGACGAGAGTGACACTGCCAAGGCTGTGGAGGTGCAGAACAAACAGATGATAGAATGGGCCCTTGGGGGTTTCCAGCCCTCTGGCCCTAAGGGCCTGGAGCCACCAGAAGGTAAACGCAGGGGCCCCGCTAGCCAGGCAGAGCCAAGCTCAGGCAGAGGAAGTCATCCTCAGGGGCAAGGGCCCATCCTTTTAGGGGGGCTCAGCAGCAACTGCATGGGCTCTCCTTTCTGGGGGCTAGGCTCTACCCCACTGTAGACAGACAGAGGGAGCTGGGATGCCTTATCAGCCCGGAACAATGACCCGATCATCTGCTCTTCGGATGCAGAGGAGAAGAATCCCTATAAAGAAGTTTACACAGACATGTGGGTGGAACCTGAGGCAGCTGCCTATGCACCGCCCCCACCAGCCAAAAAACCCCGGAAGAGCACAACAGAGAAGCCCAAGGTCAAGGAGATCATCGATGAACGCACAAGAGGTAGTTGGCCCGACTGTGGAGCGTGGCGTGGGGTGTTGAGCACTCGCGAGAGTGGGTCTGACCGTCATGGCCTCCTCTGATGCTGGGCTTTCCTCCCCCCGCAGAGCGGCTGGTGTACGAGGTGAGGCAGAAGTGCCGGAACATCGAGGGTGAGTGAGTGGTGAGGAGTCAGCTGGGCCCTGACTGGCCTGGCACTTAGTGACTTGGTGCTCAGAACTTAATTCATAGTACCCTGCCTGCCCAAGTAGGCGGGGTACCCAGGAAAGTTTAGAAGATAAGGATCAAGGGTCCTGGTGACACTGTCACTCAGTGTCTGGAGATCTGTCCTGTGTATCCCTCTCCCTCCGGCCTTCTACACGCACCTGTCTTCCTGGTGCCACATTCCTGCTTTCCTGTCTTTAGCCCTGGCTGGTTATGAGAGTTTGGGACACCTTTAGCGAGTCACAGAAGATTGGCTCCTCTTGGAGTTGATTGAACTTGTCCGAAGTTGACCTTTCTGGCCTTTCACCTCTCCTCCAGTACTCATAAAGATGTGCTGTCTTGGATCTCCTTTAGCTGAGAGATGTGTTTCCCCAGGACGTGGCTGAGGGGAGTGGGGGTTAAGCGTAAAGGAGCAGGACTGTAAGATCACCCAGACATGCTTCCAGAGTCAGCCCAGAGCTGGAGCCCTGCTCTCGCTGGCGGGTTTCTATCCCTGTCCCTAGGTATTGACAATGCTGCTCTGAGAAATGAGCATGACTGGCTGAGAGTAGAGGCCGTCTGCCTGTGGGGTATCTTCCCCGGCCCCTCCCCCTCTTCTTTTGGCTGCTTCTCAGCAAGTCCCTTTTTCATGGGTCTCCTGGCGCTGACTTTAGGCCTTTGCTGACCCCTGCTCCGCTCTTTCTGCTTTTCAGACATCTGCATCTCCTGTGGGAGCCTCAACGTCACCCTGGAACACCCTCTTTTCATTGGAGGAATGTGCCAAAATTGCAAGGTAGGGGCTTAGGCAGCAGGGCTGTGGTTGAGGGTCCCTTTGGCGGCCTGTCCTGGGTCACTGCTGCTGGCTTGGTGGAGGAGTGACACCTGTCATGGGAGTGATGTTGACTTAAAAAGTATACTTTTGAAGTGGAGTCCTGGAATAAAGGAGAACCTTGGTCTCCCTGGTTTTGATGTGCTGTTATTTTCCCGTTGAAACATTCACTTCTTTTCTAAAGCCCCATTCTGGTCCTCACATGTGGGTCAATAAGGCAGTGGTCACACACACAGTATGAGGGGTGGGAGGGACGTGCTGTATGTATTCTAGCTTGCTGTGTCCTTAGAGCCCCGGGAGGGACAAAGGAGGGGTGCAGCTCTCTTCCTGGTCTGTGGTTCGAGCCTGATCCTGGCAGGGTGCGGTGATGGGAGTCATGTGCCCAAGGTTGAGTTGGGGTCCCAGGGTGGGCATCCCAGAGGCTGGGGTTGAAAGCCTGCCTTCCTCGGGCTGGGCCTGGTCCTGGACCTGCGCTGGTATTGTGAGCCTCCTGATCCTTTGCAGAACTGCTTCCTGGAGTGTGCGTACCAGTACGATGACGACGGCTATCAGTCCTACTGCACCATCTGCTGTGGGGGTCGTGAGGTGCTCATGTGTGGGAACAACAACTGCTGCAGGTGAGGGCTCCCCTCCTGGTTTGTGCCCCCTCCCTTGGCTGGTGCCAGGCCCCTCACTGCCAGCCTCAGGCTGCTCTGCTCGGGGCCCCCAGCTCTGCTCTGGACTGAACCCTCTCGTTTTGCACTGTGGCCTCCCTGGCCTGGGGCTAAGAGTCTCCTCTCTCTCCGTGGACCTCCTTCCAGGTGCTTTTGTGTGGAGTGTGTGGATCTCTTGGTGGGGCCGGGGGCTGCCCAGGCAGCCATTAAAGAAGACCCCTGGAACTGCTACATGTGTGGGCACAAGGGCACCTATGGGTTGCTGCGGCGACGGGACGACTGGCCCTCTCGACTCCAGATGTTCTTCGCCAACAACCACGACCAGGAATTTGTAAGTGTTGGGACCAATGTTTGCGCTTTCCTGCTCCTCTGCCATTCAGACCTGAGGGCAGGCAGGGCCTGAGGTGCAGCTCCAAGCGAGTGTCTACTCTTTGTGGGGTCTGGCAGGAGTGAGTTGGGACAGCAGAGAAGCCTGAGGGCGTGGGTCAGAGTCTCAAGGGGCAGTGTGTAGCGTGTGGCTCTGTGGATGCTCCTCAGAGCAGTGACATGGCCTCTTGTGTCCCTACTTAGGACCCTCCAAAGGTTTACCCACCTGTCCCAGCTGAGAAGAGGAAGCCCATCCGGGTGCTGTCCCTTTTTGACGGAATTGCTACAGGTGCGGGTGAGGCCAGCTCAGAAAGTCCCCAGCATCCTCCTGCTGGGTTTTGGTTGTTAGGAGATAGAGAGAGAGAGAGAGGGAGGGAGGGAGGGAGAGAGAGAGAGAGAGAGTGTGTGTTTTGGTTGTTAAGGGAGTGTGTGTGTGTGTGTGTGTGTGTGTGTGTGTGTGTGTGTGAGAGAGAGAGTGATGCTAGACCAAAAAAAAACAACCCCACACCCAAATCCTAAAACTTTTAATAGTCTCAAGAGGACATTTTTTAAAGAGAAAGTATATGTGGCCAAAAGCGAGTGAAATAAATGTGCATGTGCAATAGGCTGCCCTTACGGAGGAGACGTACAGCAGAGTCAGTGGAATTGTTAGATGTTAATTGAGGATTCTCTGAAGGTCCCTATGCAGAGCGCACCACTGACTGACTCAGTGATTAGTGAAAAGACGTATGGCAGGGCAGCGTAGGTATGACACCTCTCAGGTTTTCACCGTAAAGCAAACGACAAAACCAAAGAATATTGTTTGACTCTTACCTGTTATTCTGATAATAATATTTTGATGCCCTTTAATCTGTGTGCATGTGGTGTGGGGTGTGTATAGAACATATACCCATGAATACATGAAAAGGCAGCTAAACAGCGAGGAGGTGCTTATTCTGTGACTTGCCTTTTCATTTATTATAATGGCTTTTTTAGTAAATGCCTTAATTTTTATAACATGCCTTTTCAAATGTTTGACTAATTTTGTCTGAGAAGTGTAGGGTTCTTTTGAGTGAAAGCACCGTGACTTGTGTGTGTGTATTTGTCTCTGAGTGACAGAGTTTGCACTCAACCGTAAGCCAAAAGGTTGGCAGTTCAAGCCCACGCAGAGGCACCTCTTAGGACAGACTGGCTGTCTGCTTCTGAAAACTCAGTGGAGCAGTTAAACTCTGCATACATGGGTTGCCACGAGTCAGAATCAGCTTGATGGCAGTTAATAGTAACTCTAACCCCTGATAGGTTGTGCGGTATTGTGTTTACTATTATAAACAATGCTGGGGTAAGCATCTTTATCCATGCATCTTTATATGCTTAAGCCACTGCTTCCTTAGGAAGAATCCTTAGACACTTGTTTTTCCTGTGATTTGTTTTTGTTTTGGCACTGCCAGAAAGCTGTCCTGAAAGGTTGTACTGACGTATCTTCGTGCCACTATTCTGCTCCAGCCTGAGGGCTCCTGTTTTCTCATGCCTTGGCCTCTACTAGAGGCGTCAGTTTTTAAGAAGGGAGAAACTCACCTTCCTCTCACCAGAGAGAGACCTTAGCCAGAGGCCAAGGTCCAGATGGTGTGCCAGGCCAGACGTTTGCCTTTTCTCAACTTTGTGCTGCCAACATGATAGAAACCTAGACGGGAATTTTAGCTTTTATAGCTTTTATTGCCCAGACTAGATAGGAGCTTGACACGTTGTCAGATATGTCACCCTCCTGCCCAGGAGGCTGAGAAACCTACTTGGGGTTAAGGAAGTGTCTTGGGAACAGTAGAAATGGGCCCAATGCGCCTTGATTCTCTTTTATTCTCAGGGTCTGTTCACATTGTTTTCCCGCCTCAGTTGAACAAGCATTTATGCAGAGGTCTGGGACGTCAGTCATTGCAGCTCTCACGGGAGGAAGTGCAATGAATGGGACTCCCTACTCTACCCTTTAGAGCGTTGCAGCCCAAGAGAAGGGCTGATTTATGAAGGCAGGCAGCTCTAATGAGGTGGAGAGAGTTCTCCAGTGCTGTGGATCTATGGAGGCGATGAGTCCGGGAGGGTGGGGGTGCGGCAGAGAGGAACCCTTTAGGGTTTATGTTGAATATTGAGGGATGGGTAGCACAGGGGTAGAAGGGAGGAGAACCTGAGGTGTAGGATGTTGGGATACCAAAGAAAAGGCCACCAAATAAGTCATCTGCTCTTCTCCCTGGGTCCTGAAATCACCTGTACTGACTAGTCAGTCTGTCCTGGCTGCCCTCCAGAGAGGCCAGACTAGCTATGAAACAGCCTCTGTGCGTGTTATTAATAGTCCCGCTTGAGGCAGAGAGTCATTGAGGCAGCCAGTTAGCATAGGGTGTGGGCGCAATGGAGGCCCATTTGGCTGGCTGGCCCAGGACTAGGCTGCTGAGGCCAGTGTGCCCAGTGGCAACCCTGAGTAACAGCATTCTCTGCTGGTGGCATAGGGCTTCTGGTGCTGAAGGACTTGGGCATCCAGGTGGACCGCTACATTGCCTCGGAGGTGTGCGAGGACTCCATCACGGTGGGCATGGTGCGGCACCAGGGGAAGATCATGTACGTCGGCGACGTCCGCAGCGTCACCCAGAAGCATGTATGTCAGTGCTGTGGGACCCGTCCCACCACCGCCCCTAGCGCCCGGCACAGCACTAGTCCCCGGCTCATTTGCTCATCTGCTGTTAATACCCACCTCACCCTTTCCGCCTTCCCGTTCTTCATCCCGACCTTCCATTTTTATCTCGAAGGTAACAGGCAGCTTGAAAATGGGAATTGAGGAGCTAGCCCCAGGCTTGTGCAAGGTCCCCTTCTAATAGACTGCTTCATGCTAGAGGGAAGTTCTTACATTTTCAGAGCTCTGAACTTAGGAAATCATGTCATCCTGCTCCATGTCGGGGGCTCTGGCAGTGTTTCCTGAATGTGATGTGACTCTGCATTTCTAGTTCTCTGGGTCTCCTGTGGAACCACCAGCCCTCTGGAATCCAGAGAGGGTTTGGAGGGTGTTACACCCAGGCACCTGTCTAATGTTCTCAGACCACATGGTGACTTAGGGTGCAGTGGGCCTCTTTCTCGCTGAGAGGGGGTCCTGCTAAGAGCACAGTGGGTTCTGCTGGTCTTAGAGACATATGCAGTTTAGTCCCTTCCCTTTAGAGTTTAGGAAACAGCCCAGAGAACCTCACATGAGCCCAGGGCTGCACAGTCAGGGCAGCATGAGCTTAGGAACAGCCAGCTTTCCTGACTCCTGACTGTGTGCTGTTTTGCCATCTTCACTGATCATTCACAGATTATTTCTCTCTTCCTTTCTGCCTCTGTCCCTGGACAGCAGGCCCATCACATTACCTTTATCCTCCCAGATCCAGGAGTGGGGCCCATTCGATCTGGTGATTGGGGGCAGTCCCTGCAATGATCTCTCCATCGTCAACCCTGCCCGCAAGGGACTCTACGGTAGGTGCTGTCCTCACCCCCTCCCTGTCTGGGCTGGTGCTTCCGCACGTAAGGTTCCCACTTGGGTATTCCTGCCCTGGGCCAGCTGCTCCCGATGTCCCTGTCCTCCCTCACCCACCCCGTGCCCGAGCCACCCCCGTCTGTGCAGACAGCCCCAGCTCATGGCTTTCTCTTCTGACCTCTCAGAGGGCACTGGCCGGCTCTTCTTTGAGTTCTACCGCCTCCTGCATGATGCGCGGCCCAAGGAGGGAGATGACCGCCCCTTCTTCTGGCTCTTTGAGAATGTGGTGGCCATGGGCGTTAGTGACAAGCGGGACATCTCGCGATTTCTCGAGGTATAGCCAGCACCCTTGGTTTGGTCAGCTCACTAATGACTTCTACTGTGGACTGCTGCTTTATCCCTGTCTCGGCTGCATCGTGGAGCTGGGGACCTGAGACTTCTGCTTTGCAAGGGGCCCATTTGGGAAGCTCAGGGCTTCCCAGAGAGGAAGTCGTGTTAGGTGCCCACCCCAGAGAGTCCCAGTGGTCTCTTGAGGTGTGAGTGTGGGTATAGACCTTGGAGGTAAAAGGACCCAACTTATTGATTAGGATGGTTGCCAGACTTTTAGGGCTGAGAGTGCTATGTGAGATTATCCTGGGAGGTGGGATAGTCTGTCTCTCCCCTGTTACATCTGCAGATCTTTATCCCCTGCACCAGCACAGATGCATTATGGAGCCTGAGATGGCAACTTGGTGAATCTCAGTTTTTACCCCATGGTGTGGCTCCCACCTCGCTCTTAGCCAGTGCACTTTTCTTGCTAGTGACATTCTTGGGTGGGAACTCAAGCCCTCGCTCCCGAGTCTTAGGAGTTGGTGACATCTCATGCTGGTATTGCTGACGTTAAATGTAAGGAGACGTGTGTCTAGTTTATCATCTAGGCATTCGGTGAATACATCTGCACTCACAGGAGTGGTCTTTTTAAAAAACTTTCAATTTACTGTAGTATCCGTAAGCCACATGAGGATATTTACATGGAAATTTTAGTTCCTCATCACCACAGCTACGTTTCAAGCATGCGTTACGCACATGTATGTGGGTAATGGGCTGGTGGCTGCTGAATCAAGCAGGGCACATGGACCATTTCCATCACCACAGCAAGTTTTGCTGGTCTAGCGTGTCCTGTTCAGTGCACGTGGAGTGGAGGCAGCCTGAGTGCTGGCTTTTCGCTCACCGGTTCAGGCTGTCCCAGGGTGTGGTTTCCTGAGGAACTAAGAACCTTAGAGACTCCGGGGCTCCAAGTCAGAGCAGAATTGTCTGGCCCTCTTAATATTCTCCTCTCATCTTCTACTCTGCCTCCTGTTTTGTAGTCCAACCCTGTGATGATTGATGCCAAAGAAGTGTCAGCTGCACACAGGGCCCGCTATTTCTGGGGTAACCTTCCTGGGATGAACAGGTTAGTGAGAGCTCCTGGGCCTTGGGGTGGCTGTGGGGCGGCTGTGGGGTAGTGTCTGCTGGTAGGGCCAAGCGGGGTGGCCCAACTCGGGACCACTGAATGGACCCTCTCAGGCTGGCCACCTCCCTGTGGAAGGGCTACTGCTCTGTCACTGTCCTTACTTCTTTTTCCTTAAGAAAGAAAAGGAGTCACAGTGTACTCACCTGAGAAAACGACCTTAGTGGGCATGATTAGGACGTTGTTCACACCACTTAAGAACAGTTTGCTGCGAAGTTCCATGGCTGGTTTTCTATATTGGAGTCGGGTCTGTTGTCTTTTCCCCAACTGGTGCTTGTAGTTCCCTGAAGAGAGGACTTTGGAGAATGGGGCTGAGGATAGGAAAGTGCAGCCTGATTCCATCCCGTAGGCGAGGGCGACTTGTAAGTCGGAGGTTCTGCTTCGTTCATTAACTACACACTTTGTTGGCCCTGGGTCCTTTGCTTGAAGGACTTTCTTCATGTAGGTTATGCAGTTAAGGATTTTAATGTAAAGAAAGGAAAGGACGTCTTGCCAATTTTATTAATTCTGTGTAATAATTGTGTTTGAAAAAGAAAAAGGGGGTTCTGCTTGAAAGTGCAGTTCAGAAGCAAGTGAGCCACCTCATCTAACTGTTCATTGTTGTTGTGTACTGAAGGTCAGAACCGACCCTTAGCTGACTGTCCGGCAGGTTTTCAGAGGCAGTTAATGGCCCATGAGGAGATTTCCCATCCTCCTGTGGAGCTGGCTTCAAACTGCATACTATCATGATTGCAGTGCAGCTTCTGGCCACGAGGCCACCAGAGCTCCTTGATAACGATCTATTATGGAGAGAAGTATTTTCCACAGTGTTTTGAGTCTTAGATTTGAAGCCTTCAAGACACAGCAGATTAGAAGGCATCGTTTAAGTCTGGCCTGTCATGAAATCTCCCTCTGATGAGTTAGGAACTCAGTAGTCAGCTCTGTTGGCAGAAGTTCTGTCCTTTGCAAGGGTTTGTTAATGGGAAGAACATGGGTCGGTGAGGTAGCTGACTCAGAACTGTCTCCTTACTCACTCCCAAAATGTATGTAAAAAATCAGAAGATAGAGTTGCATTGTGTGGTGCAGACTGCTGTGAGATGGTGCTAACCCTGGCCTTACTGTGAAGTCCTAGAATGCTGAGGTTCCACACAGGATCCAATAGAGGGCGTGGGAGCAGAGTCAGAGAAGCTGGAGACCAAGGTCCTTGGAGTTCTCACCCTGGGGCCACTGAGCACTGTGTGCACGTCACCAACTTTTTAGACTTGATTGTATGAAAAATTTTGTTAATTTTGGTAAAAGTTTACACTGCAAATGAGTCCTCCATTCAGTAGGTTTTATATAAACTATTAGTGACTTTTTTTACTTTCTTTGCTATATGAACATTCTCATTGTTTTAACTGTTGACCGTTTGGTCTCATCTAGATAAAGGGGTTTTGGTCTCATATGGGTAATTTTTAATAATTTTTTTTAAAAGGAACACAGTACTTAAGAGCAGTACAGTTTTGTGAGCCGATCTGTTGTTTATTTATAAGGTGATCTCGGATTAGTTTTAGTTTTGGCTCAAGGTTTAAAGATTATGTCAAGGTAGTAGTCTCAGAGTGCAGTGGGAGTGCTCTTTGAGGGCAAGGAGGATGAGGTTTCACCTCACGTACTTTAGGCATGTTGCCAAGAGGGGCTATTCCTTGGAGAGGGATCTGAAGGGATGACAAAGGGGAGGAAGACCCTTAACTAAGTGGATTGAGCCAGTGACTGTTGTATTGGGCTCTGGTGTGTCAGTAAATGTGAGGATAGTATAGGATAGAACAGGGTTCAGATCTGTTGTTCATAGTCATTATGAATCATATCGGACGCGATAGACCCTAACAGGAGTCTCAGGAGTCCTGTGGCTCAGGTGGTTCGGATTTTGGGTTCTTTTGTTATTGTTGTTTTTTATTATTTTTGTGTGTGTGTATGATACAACCCTGCTCGCTGAAACTGAGAAGGACCTCATGCACTTACTGCAGAGGGTCAAGGACTGCAGCCTTCAGTGTGGACTGAGGCTCAGTGTCAAGAAGACAAAGATTGTCACCACTGGATCAATCGGTAGCATCAGGATGGATGGCAAAGAGAGTGAGATTGTTCACAGCTTCAGTTTGCTCGGCTCCACGGTCAACACTCTTGGCACCAGCAGCCAGGAAATAAAAAAAAATGTATTGTGATGGGAAAGTCTGCTATTAGGGACCTCTCTAAAGTACTCAAGAGCAACGGTGTCTCTCTGGAGACTAAGGTGCGCCTGATACAGGCCATGGTCTTTGCAGTCACTTGTTATGCGTCAGAGAGTTGGACAATGACTAGGGAGAATAGAAGGAGAATTGACGCCTTTGAGCTGTGGTGCTGGAGAAGAGTATTGGATGTTCCATGGACTGCCAAGGAAATAAACAGATTCATCCTAGAGAGGGTTAAACCAGGCTGCTCCTTGGAGGCAAGGATTCTGGGCCTTCGTCTGACATACTTTGGACATGTTGTAAGGAGAGAGAGGTCCTTAGAGAGGGACATCATGCTGGGTAGGGTAGAGGGACTGCGCAGGAGGGGAAGACACTCTATGAGGTGGATTGATTCAGTGACTGGGGTAATTGGGATGGGTGTGTCAGAGGCAATGCAATTGGCACAGGATAGAGCAGGGTTTAGGGCTGTTGTACAAAGGGTCGCTATGAGTCGCTAAGGACTCGACGGCACATAACAACAACAACCATCAAATTGGATCTGACTGGTACAGGAGAAGATTGCCCCTCCTTCTCATGCAGAGCTTCTGGTGAATTTGAACCGCGCACCTCTGGGCTTGTAGTACAGTTTCTTGCCACTAGGCCACCAGAGCTCCCTAGATTTTGGTTTTTTATACTATCTTTACAAAATACGAGATTCTATTGCACATTTCTCTCCCATCCTATTAGGTTCTGCCATCTCTCTCGGCCTTGATTAGAATACCCAGCGGATAGTGATTGTTGGAAATCACCCCATTCCCATGCTCTCAGAATCCATAGATAAGGCTGTGGTTCATAGGTGGTTTATCTCTCAGACAAGATTCTTGGAATCTTGTTTCCTTCTTTCTCCTGTCTCAATAGAGAGGAAAGTTCTGTCGTAGGTGGCCATTCATAAGCTTTATGACCCCACCTAGGATGTAGAAACTATCTTGATGAATTACACCAGTTGAGTGAGATATGTCACCAGCTGGTTCTATGCCTCAAACCCAGAAAGGCAGTCTCTTGTGTTTGGTTATGTCTGAGAATATTCAGAACTACTTCATGTGATTTTTAAAATATTTGTGACTGTGTGTATGTACAGTGACATATGTATACGTTCACGTGTGTATGTGTATATATACCTATACACATAGAACAAACCAAAACCACTGTTGTGATGTGTTCAGTGACCCTCCATCAGATGTCCAAGGCTGTGTTTTACAAGTGAGGGTGTCTCCATGTTTTTCCCTTGGAGCAACTGGTGAATTTGAACTACCATCCTTTCAGTTAGAAGCCTGATACATTATACACTGTGCTACCAGGGCTCGTTAAACATACACATACACCTCTACACAGCTATTTTGGTCATTGCCCTTTTTTAAAAAAAAAATTACTGTGATTTTTAACAAAAGTTTACAGGAGGTTGTTACCATTTTAAAGAGTATTTTTAAATGTCAGGGAAGGGTCATACTTTGAAACCTCAGAAGGGGGTGGTCCGTTAGTTTGTCCTCCAGCTGGGGAGCAGTGGTGTGTTCAAAGGCCACGGTATCTTAGTCTCCTGGTGACTGTAGAGTTTGGGTCTTCTGCTTTCCTCCTCTGTTTCCATGACAGCATTTAGTCTTGTGATTGAAACCAGCCCGTGCCTGCTTGCTGTGCTTGCTTTTATGGCACTTGTTTCCTTCATTCTTCTTTGGACCCAGCTGATTCCTATCACCTCCCAGGGTTCTTTCCATATCCTGGGGCGGGGGGTGGGTGGGAGGAGATGTGTTTCTTTCACCAGGGACCTCTGGTGGCCTGATGTAAGAGGCTGCACTGCAATTCCAAAGGCAGGCAGTTTAAACCCACCAGCTGTTCTACTGGAGGAGAGCCAGCAGTCTCCTCCCTTGCGATTTACTGCCTCTGAAAACCTGCTGGAGGCTCAGCTATGGCTCACTTCCCATTTGACAGCACACAACCACCACCGCCACCACCACCACCACCACCGCCAGTTCCTTCTATGGCCTGTTTGTGTGTGTGTGTG